CGCGCGTGTGTGTGTGGGTGGGTGTATCAGTTAACAATGTAATGTCTTAGGTGTAACAAAGCATGAGTTTCAAGGATTTCCTGGACAACTGATCAACATATACTGTTATCTGACCTCTTATAATAGTTTTTTTTTTTAAAGAAATGTAGCATAGTTCCGACAGGTACTTGTAACAGAGCATTGTATTCCAGTCTGAGCTCCATCTTCCTGTCATGTCTTCTTTAGATGTTCTGATCCAGAAAGTGCCTTGTCACACAGCCTGCTATTATCTGCCTCCTCCTCCTCCTCCTCCCCCTGGACTCACACTCACCTCCCCATCTGTGGTCTTATAAGGTTACAGAGCAGGATAGATGCAGGAGTGAGTGTGTAAGGGTGTTTGTGTTGGTTCCTATGTTCTGTGGTCCATGATGTCCTCAGGTGAACAGTTCTGAACTGGGCCTGGTTTTGTCTCCGTTTCTGCTTCAGTTCATCCTGGGAACAAATACCTGCACACAAACCTGCAGGTGCAGCTATGGAGGCGTGCACACATATAGAGTGTTTCTTGCTCCACTGTCTTTCTGTTTGTACTTAAAGGATTGTTTTTGTATTATAACTTAACCTGAGTTTTTTTTCTGTTATGACTCTGGATTTGGTAATATTTTGTCTTTGCAAGTAGTTTTGAAATGTTTTTGTAACACTCAACAAAAGCAGGCCTTTCTGCTTACTAAATGTTTATTGCAACATTCTTTCTCTGAAGTCCTCTGAATCAAGAAGGTGCCCTTTAACATAAATGTGCATAGAGGAGTGTTTCAGCAGCTAATTTTCTTTTTGGAGTGCTCCGATCAACCAGGCAAGATTTCATTGGGTGATCACAGGCAGGCAGAAACTAACATGTGAAACCGGTCTTATTTACCGTTCTTATCTCGCTCTGCAAACAGTTGGCATGGGTCAGTTATACCCAGGCTTTAAAAAGTTTTGGTTTTGAGGCAACAAAAATCTTCCATTTTGCTTGTATCTATAATTTAAAATGTTTTCAATCAGTTTTCTTGGGATTGGTCAATTTCCTCCAGCTGACTGAGCTAAGCCTAATACTCTTTGTGCTTCTCATTAACAGAACAAATCTGACTGTTTCAAATTTTCTCCCATCATGAAAAACAGGGACAGTCATTTCTACTGACCTGCGTCTTCAGAGATATTTTTTTTCTTCTGATTGTCTTTGTCTGTCATGAGGCTCCAAGACATCCATGTGTGACTCTCCTTTTTGACTATTTTCATTCCACATGATGATGATTTATACTCGGCTAAGCCAATGTAAACCTGCACTGTCAAAAGAGGTCACTGAAAAAAAAAAAAAAGTCTTCTCTGAGAGTTTATCTAGAAGTTTCCTTGTTGCCGTTTTCCTACTTTAACTCATACTTTCCAAGTATTTCCAGTACTCTATTTTTAGGAGGAGGTTTTTCTATGAATCCCCCCATTATGGCATATTCAATAACATTAATCTGTTTTACTTCACCGTGATTGAAGTTTTCCACTAAGTCTCCTCATCTTAAACCTTATACTGCCAATAGTTCATTAAAGAGCAATAGCTCTGGTTTTATATCTTGGTCTTCAGGGTTTGTGGGTTTGATTTAGTCTCTGTATTATTTATGAATGGACTGCTTCGGAGACATTAGTCAACATTTAAACTCAACGGTTTCCTTTACCCAAATATGAGGAGCACTTTAGATGACCTGGTTGATATACGGGAAAATAACCATTTCTCAAGTAGAAACATCTCATTTTATAAGATTAGATGAGAGAGAGGGCTGATGAAGATAAATGGGAATCAGAATTAACTATCATCCCTAATTTTCTGTGCATTTGTCCCTTTCATCTCTTCAAGGCAGAAATATTGCACTGTAAAAATGTTGGGTTTGCCCTTGTTCCAGATAACCTCTCAGTTAGGTCAATGTTCCGTCTAACTGGGATGGAAGAAGTCTTTGGGAGAGGCCTTAATAACAGAGCGGGAGCGCTCATACATCAGTCTTCCTCACCACACCAACCACCCTGGCTCCAAACTCAGCCCCCAGACCATATAACAGCATATTAGTTGCTACAATATGCATAACAGTTCAAATTGAACATTTCTGATTTCTGGTTAAGCTTTGCCCTCCGAAGCTGCTCTTGTTTCTTGCTCCTTCCTCATGCTCTTTGCTCAGTTCCTTTTCCTCATTCCTGAGCTCAGCTCTGATTCCCATATGTTGCTGTCATAGCAAAGTCACACTAAAATCTGATAGGTTTATGGTGCTTAAGCTTGTGTCGCTGCCTGATTTTTATCTTCAGAAGCCAAATACAGCTGGATGAGGATGAAAGGCTGCTCCCATTTCACTTTCTGTGAACTTTGGATGTCTTAAACCCAACTGCAGTTTTAACCCCTTTCACACTAGTGGTGGCAAACAGCTGCAAATAAAATAAAACATAAAAAAACTTTCCAAATCGGGTGAGATCTTTTTTCACTTCCAAAGCACAATCTAACAGAAATATTTTTAAAAGCTTAGTTGTTCACATTCCATTACTTTTAAGTCACTGAAGTGGAAAGTTAAGATATAAAGTTGATATAGACAAATTAAATAAAACCTCACTTTCTCTTTGTCATACTTGTGTTATGTGTAATGAGAAGCTTAACCAAATATTTTTCAAGAGCTGAGGCGTGATATTTGGGGATCATTTTGATTAATAAAAATTCCATTGCATTTTTAAAGCCTGAATGAAAAATATATCAGACTTAAATTATTTATCCCATTGTCTGTCCATCTGTCTGTCCGTCCATCCGGAAATCAGAGTATTCTTGTTTACAGGTGCTGTTCCTGGCAAAAATCAGGCACAAGAGTGTAATTCAGTTTCACTGTTGAACATACAGTATGTTTAAAATTACAGTTGGTTAATTTTACTTCAAAGTCAGTTGAATAAAGTTGTATATTGTTTTTATATGTTTACATCTCATCATACTATCTAAACATATTGGGGACAGTGAGGTTGGCGAAGGCTGTAGAAACTCAGTTAAAAAAAATAAAGTTACCCAAATTAAAAAAAGAAAAAATGGACAACCATGGGGACAAAAACAAGCCAATTGTCTCTCTTCAATTGAGTATTTTTTTTTGTAATTGCCTCCACTATATTATTACTGTATTGCCTTTAATAACACAACAGTCAGTACTTCCTTCTGTCCCTCTGTTCCCGCTTTTCCCATCACCAGCTCTGACTCCTGAGCTCTCATATTGCTGCTGCGCTCGACTTATTCTGCCTTGCTGAACCCAGTGAGCTGCAACGTCTTTTCTCCTCTGTCTTTTGTTAACTGAGAAGCTTGAGGCTTCTGAAAGTCTGTCAGCACATAAAAAAGGACAATTAGACTCATTTTGAGGCCAAAACTTCCTTTGATACCACATCATGTTAAGGAGCCAACCATTATTTCGCTTTTATTCCCACACAACAGTACACTTGGTGAAAAACCTGCAGTATCATTTGATAATAAATTAACATTATAGAATAGAGTTTATTGAGTTCCAGTGTTGTTAAGTTTGCTCCCTTTAGCACTGTGGATATCAGGAGCCACAGCGCTCCCCACAACTGAATCTGCAGCTTGTTGTTATCCAGTTGTCAAGACGTGGGACGTCCTTGGTGACAGGTGTAGAGGCCTGAAGCGTAGCTTGTTAACACCAAGGACCACCGCAAAGTTGTCCCCACCCCGAGACGAAACATGTGATCCAACACATTATCACTTAATTAGTTAGGCTCTCTGTTTGTCCCTGAGGAACATTGATTTCACACTTTTTCACCAAGTGCTGCCATTTTACATGGCAGCACTTGTAAGATTTGTTTCAAATTTTAAAGTATATTTATTATTTGTACAATAACAATTTCTGGTTAAGAAGAGTAAAGTGAAGAATACCATTATTTTTTTTACTAGTTTTATGGTTGTGAGCAGGCATCTGTAATCTATATTAGGCGCTGTGGGAGTCGATATAAAATAGGCTTTTGCTATTTTTAAACTAAAACAAAATAAATTCACATTTTAAACCATCTGATTTGATCGACTGTGTCAGTTAGATTTGGTAGATCCTTGTCTTAACTCTGGTTTAGGTGTCAACATTTCCAAATCTAACCTAAAACGAAAGAGTAATTTTACTGGAGTCACTTCAGCATGTATGTGATATCCTGTACGTTTTGCTTTCTCTCACTCTCTCGCAGCCTCAATAAACCACATACATGTTTCCACATGTACTGAAAAATATGATCTGCTAAATATCTTCATACATTTCTGTGCTGCCTCTGACCTCATTAAAAATGCCCAGTCTTCTTCACACGGTAAAAATCTGCACACAAAAATGTTTAAGCTGTCACCGTGAACTAGTTTCAGATAGGTTAGATGGATTTTTGGAGCACTATCTGACCAGTCATGAATCCAATTAAAAGTTGACTGATTAAGTTCAAAAGCTAATTTCTCTATCCATCTCTGTTTTCATTTGTGGAACAAATGCAGAAATATTTATTCGCAGAGATTATGTCATTGCACAAGCCTACATTTTCTGCATGTGCTTGTCACTGAGATTGTGTGTGTTATTCACTACACATATAGCGATGCATACAAACACAATGGGATGCCACCTGTGTGTTTTATGTTACCTCTGAGAATCATTTGTAGTGCAGGCTGTTGTTTCAGGAGACCTTTCTTTCCATGTTTGGCTTTTTAATTTGCAGGGAATCACCCATGACCCGCAGCATCACACGCTGAAGCCCATTTTCAGCCTCCTGTAATGAAAAGCGTAGCTCTGTCGTCAGTTGGTAATAAAGGCGCATTAGGCCCAAATGGCCTGCTGATAGGCTCCCTGTTGTACAATCAGTCCTTTGATCTCCATCAGCAAACCTACACCATCACCACATGTATCTATGGAGTATTTTTCATGTTTCTGCAACAACACATAAAATAAAATTCACTTTTTGCTGTTTCATCTGGCAATCATTCAGACTAACTTTTTTTACTTCTTCTGTCTTCAGGATCAGAGCTTCCCCAGGACCTCAGTGTACTTGCCGCCACCTCGTGGAACGCCACAGAAGGTAACATAATAATAATAATCTTTTATACCAATGTGAACACATTTTTAAGAGTCACATCTTGCTGATGTGTTGTCTATAGAGTTTTGAGCTCTAATCAAATTTTTAAAATAATATTCACTGAGTGCTTTAGAGCCTGTTTATTGTCTATGTGTGTCCTGCTGCTTATAATTGATGGAAAGGCTTGCAGTATGTTTGTCTACAGCAGGGGTCCCCAAGCTATGGCCTGTGGGCCGGACACTTGGTCTGGCCCGCCTCCTCATTTGGTCCGGCCCCCTGAACAATACCAGAGAGCATTCAGTGTTTTTTTTTCATATATATGTGGATTTTTCTTCAACCACCAGGGGGGCTCTTGAGCAGATATGAAACTTAGTTTCCCTCAATGGAATATATACTAGTCAGTACCAGTCACCGTTTCGCTCACGGTTTTTTTTCCATTTGCATTCTGGGTAAAAATCTATCTACAAACGCGAATATGTCGTCGGCAGTAATCCAGCCCCTTCCTCTGCCCCCCCCGGTCCACAGCTACAAATGAGGCATTGTTCAAATTTTCACTGAAAAACTTATAACTGCATTATGTGGACGTTATTATCAACCTAGAAAACCTGGTTTTGTTTTTGTGCATCTTCATTGTACTTTTTTTATTTGGTAATCTATGCTTACTTATCTGTGGGAATCAACTGTTTACAACCTTAGACTTTTTTGTCGACCTACATTTGTGTTTATCTACCTGCATTAATCCATTGTAGAAATGCCTTCCACTGCACTTGCAGTCTCAAAACATTTGGGTTATGTCTCTATCTACATTGCACATCTAGAGACTGAATTCTTGCTCATTCTGGTTTGTTCACAGTCAATTTAGAGGGGAAGAGTCTGAGAACAGCAATTTTGAGGTTTTCTCACAGATTCAGTTTGATTAAGGTCTGTACTTTGACTGGGCGATTTTAACTTATGAATAAGCTTTGATCTGACCAAGCAGTGTCCACAAACAATTCTTGAAGGCCGATATCTTGCATGCTATAGATACAACACTTATTCTGCTACCCTGGATCAAATGAAATAATCATTATCAGGCTTCGGGATTTGTTTAGTTTCTGTCTATTAGATTTCATTTTCTTGTGTCTGTAAATGTCAGTTAAGTAGGCTTTGTCCTGGTGTGGTCTATGACTATTTCCTGTTCACTTTGCTAAAAGAAGAAGGCAGGGAAGAGATGTAAGATGTCAGGGTTGCCTTCACCTACTTTATATGTTTTACTTGTAGTCAGATCATCAAATTGTGGAAGGAAAAAATATTTTTGCCATAATCAGAATTCAGTTGAACTTGTGGTTCAACTGAATTCAGATTTTAGCATTCAGTTGAACCAGTTGAATGCCATAATCAGTTGGTTATCATTTTTAAAGGTTTCTGCAATGGATTTTCTGGAGTTGGACATTCGGCCAGGCTCATTTAGTGGACAAAAAATTGTCTGGAAAACAAGCCAAGAATTTAGCTGATGAGGGTAATAATTGTACGTTAGACCACCTCCGAGTCATGATAAGCTGTTGATTTGTCATCCACAAATCATTTTTTTCTGCCAAGCAAAATGCCCCTGCAGATGAATTCTACTTGATGACAAGGATGAAGCTGGAGAAATCTCAAAACTTCTAGTGAACCTGTGTGAATCCCTGAAATATGCCTTTCATCTGGTTCAGAACTGGTGAAGATATCTGGAAAGATGAACTGTCTAACAGACTCATTTCTCTGAGATCAATAACACTCCAAGCAAAATATATTTTTGTGCGATGAAAATAAATTGTCATGTCTCCTGCAGCTTGTCAGGCTTTCTTCAGCACTTCCCATCAGAGGAAGCAGCTGTTGTTCTCCTGTCAGAGCTGAAGCGCTTACTGAGCCAAATCCACAACGTTTTCTGGATATTTTCACTAAACTCCTGCACAATGTAATCAGTCAAAATCTGCTCCTCCCCTTGGTTTCTCCTTGAACTACCAGGATCCGCCTAAATTCCCACGAAGAAACACAGCCATGGAAGACCTGGAGTATGAAACTTTGATGGATGTGACCTTTATTTATTTTTTTTTTCATTTTTTGCTCTTTGTCTGGTTTAGTTTAATTCAACTCTTGCAAAGCCAACACTCCCACAACATCCTTCCCACGACGCGTACACAATAAAAAGGCATTTTCAAGCGGACAGGCATAAAGGCAAACAGTAGTTTCTGGATATGATTGAGCAGTTCAGCGGAGATAATGATTACTGAGAGCAATCAGGGATGTTTAGAACATCATAAATACAACCAGGAGAAGATCCAAACAAATCACAAAGCCTGCTTCGTTTTTCCACAGCATAAAACATTTAAACTTGTAAAACAGTGCGTCAGCATTTTGAGCTTAGCATCCACATCTGTTTTTACTCTAATGAAGTGGTCATTGTAGTTCTTGTTTTGTCTGCAGGCAAATAAAGTTGTGTTTTACCAGCATGGCACAACAATAAGATGGTATGGTGATGTCGGTGTGTATCGGTACCATGAAGTCATAATGCCGAAGACCCTCAATGTGCCGATAAAATCGGAGGCGATGGTGGTTTACTAATTTTCAATATTTTAATCTTTCTCTCTTACCTTTTAGATTGTCCTATTGTACAATGATTCAACTTTTATTATATCAATCATAACCAGCAGTCTGTTAAATTAAAATACATTTTTAAATGTATTTAATTTAGTAAAAGTAATACTAGTAAGACATTGATTCATTACACAGAAATATACTGTATATCTAATGATTTTGTTCTGTTAACATTCATTGGTAAGGCAGCAAATTATAGTTTCTTGGAAGGTTTAAATGTTACATTAGACCAATATAAAAGGACTTTCAATGCAAAGTTTTAAGTTGTTGCATCTCATTTTATTTATTTAGTTTTCATACATTTTCCAAGTTCAATTTGTAACATTTAGCAAGACTACTCAGTATGTATGATTCTCAAAAGAGAGGAAGTAAAGATGACTCACTCGGATGTGCATTTTTAGACTAAACACAAACATTCCAAACTTGCTTTAAGCTCCAAACATTGGTTTCTTGGATGCTTCATCATCTTATTTTTTCTAAAAAAAAAAAAAAATATATATATATATATATATATATATATATATATATATATATATATATATATATAAATGTTCAAAATTTGAAACAATATCGCCTTTAGATTATCAGAAGAGATAAAAAGTGCATAACATTTTGGATTCACAGTAAACCCAAGACCTATGTAGACTGTTTCATATTTTCTGGCCATTTTCTGCTGGATATCTTTACTTGCCCCTGACACCTCCGCCATTTTGCTTTTCACTCCCATAAACCTCTCTATTTCTCGTCCTCCGTCAGTCCTACACACTGGTGTGCTTGACTGTAGGCTACTTCTTCTGCTGGGTTGAACAGGCAACCTGTTGATTAGTTTTAGCAGTAGTGCCACCTAGTGACCAGAGGCTTGTTTATCATTCAAGCATGAATGAAGAATATTCTAACAAGTGCTCCTTGCTCTCACATTTTATGCAACTGAAATATTTACATTTTTTATCCACCAACAAACCTATCCAGAAGCAAATATTTCTGGCCATAATTTATAGTTGGAAGGGCCAGTTCTGGGATCCTCTCCGCCTTTGCCTCTCCGTACATGGCACAGTGCTACAGTTCAGATTTCATATCGGCTGAGAATGTTTAGTGAGCCGTGGAGACTCTTAGGTTTCTGAGCCTTCCTGAAAGGATCTCTTGCTCAGCTTTTCTATATGTGTGGTATTACGAACAGACGCGTTTGCTTGCAGAATACAGTTTCAGTGGTGAAACGAAGAGGTTGCTCTGAGCATGTAAAGGTCTCTATCTCGCTGGTTGTGTTTACAGCTACGTGTCCGCACGTGAGCGTTTGATTGCACCAAAGTACAGCAAGGGGAAAATGTGCACCGATGACAGGGCAGCATTTTAGCCGCCCGCCACATTAAAAGACAATCCTCAGCGAGGGTTTAAGTTTCAACATGCCCCCTGTGCCAAATACCACAACACTTACCACAAGACGATTACATACAGAGGCTTAGTTACACAGACACATGTTCCTCCTCTACACCTCTTTTCTCTCCTTTTCTAATCTCATTGAGCTTTATTGTCAGTAGTTATAACAGCTAATGGAGTACGTAGACACACCACTCCAAAAATCATTTTCTTTTCCATCAACCCAACTAATGAAACACTATTAAAGTGAGTCACTGTTCTGACCCTCCTCCCCCAGCCTTCTGGCAAAAGCACCTTGTCTCATTTAAAAGTATGTGTGTGTTCAGATGCAATACTAGGTTAACCAACGAGTGGGCAGAATTTGGTCCTCTAAATGTTGACTGCACATGTAAGCAGAGATTCTCTGCAGACCTCCATGCCTTTTTGTTGATGGTTTGGCACTCGGATCACAGAGACCCAGGAGTAAGCTTGCACAGTCGAACAGTCATATACCCTCATCAGGATGAATGCGACACCCATTGCAGCTGACCTTTATCTGCACCCATCCATGTGTAGTTTTACCGCTAAACATGGTGAAGTTGTTTCCGTAAAGTAAGACTACGGTGCAGCAGATGACTTGTTGGAACTCGTTTGGTCGGAATTGCACTTTAGCTCAATTTTAGACACAACACAATGAATACTTTTTCTTTGGTCTTCTATTGCCCCTTCTCCATGGGTATAGTATTAACAAGTTCTTCACCAGTCAGCTCTTCCAGGTAATTCCCATTTTTGTGGAATTACCTCAGGGATGGTACAAGTCGGGTCAAACCAGGTATTGCGAGCAAGCGATTTGATTGGCAGCAGACTGCATTCGCTGACTGACTCGTGGATTTTCATCACTTGATGACCAAGATGGTATTTGTGGAAGGTACAGCGTCAAGTGGAAGAGGCAACCCACAATAAACAAATATACAGAGCGATTTTGGAGAAACTGAACACTCAAGGGTACACACAAAAAGTGACATCAATGGAGA